ACAGGTAGTGAAAAAATTATATCCCTCATTCCTCTTATTTTTCTTTATCTGACTCAGAGAATCTCTTTTTCCTTATTACATTTCTTTGTTATATTGGTGACTTTACATAATACTTATACTTTTTTTTAAATTTCATTAATTTTAATGAACATTTACAGAGATTTGGGGTTTTCATTCATTCATTGTTGCACAATATTTATACTTTTGTGTCCTAATAAACTTTTTGGTTTATTCTTGGCTATGAAAGAGTGATTTACCTCTCTCTTTCCTTTTTATTTTCAGTGTTTGATAAGTTTGTTATTTTCTTACTCTCCTCTTTGTTGGCTTCTTTAAAATGAAAAACCCAGCAAGGATTTAGGAAGATTTTAAACATAAAGTAGGAAAATAGTATATCAAACCAAACCACACCAATCCTGTGTTTCTCAGTTAAAACAGTTATTACTAATAAGCTCAGGCTTGCAGCTTCCCCTCATTTCTCTCATTCTTAGAATATTTTGAAACTCATATTTTAGTTTATTGTTATGTCATGGTTTGGTTTTGGTTGTTTTTTTTTTCAGTATCTTGTCTCCTCTACCCACCTTTTTCTTCTAGCTTTCCTCTTTTAGTTACAGATTTCTTTTTACATTGCACACGTTGTTAACATTTATAATCTGCCCTGCAGCTAATGCCAGCTCTTTCCTATATAGTTCATTGCTCGGATGTATCATTTGAAAGAACATTCCTAGTGATAAGGAGTGAATTCTCTGTTCTTCTGGAGCCTATGTTTCCTTCTGTTTGCTTCTCAGTTGTTCTTACATTAGCTGTTTGTGAGGGTCTGCAGAGCGTTATGCTAAGTGAACACACTGAGTCCGTGAGGACAAATAGACCATTATTGTAGACGTGGAAGGATAACTCGTAAAACATGTATGAGGATCTAAGGAGGGGTGGGGGATCAGAGGAGTGAGGATGGGGGGAGTCATAGGGTCACACAATTTGATGGATGGAGGAGACACCACCCCAATTGTCTCCAGCAACATCTGTCTTATTGTCTCCCCACACTTAATTTTTCCCAGTTAATTTTCCGTCTCTCATTGTCAAAGTTTGTGTTATTGTTTTATCCATGCATTTTCTTAACAAAAATTTACCAAGTCCTGTTACAACATACTTAATAGTTCTCAGCTTTCATTCTCTCCATTCTCCTCACCGGGGCTCTGACCTCCATTCTCTTCACCGGGGCTCTGACCTCTCTCCATTCTCCTCACCGGGGCTCTGACTAACTCATCATCTCATTCTACCTCCTTGGTAGTTAGAGTATAGGATCCAGAATGGTGCAAGAAGATAATGAAGAGCTTAAATTGAGTTAACATTTTACAATTATCCTTAGGTGCTACAAGTACCGTTTATGTGCACCATATTTTCAAATACTGCTCTTTGATGGAAATGTTCTCCACAGGCAATGAACACCCGGGAAAGCGGCAAAGCTTCTTCGAGTTTAGGACTCCAAGATTTTGATTTACTCCGAGTCATAGGAAGAGGAAGTTACGCCAAAGTACTGCTGGTTCGATTGAAAAAAACAGATCGTATTTATGCCATGAAAGTTGTGAAAAAAGAACTTGTCAATGATGACGAGGTGAGCCCCGCACACCCTTCATGTCCCTGCGTTGTTAGTTCACCCTGCTTTTCTGATAAAGCTTCAGAAAAGATTATAGAACCAATATCTAATCTGACTGCTATTAGATTTTTAAAAATTAAACCATATCATCAGGGAGTAGCACTTGAGTTTTAGGAAAGCTTTCTAGACATTCTAATTGAGAGCTTTCTTAGTGGTGGGATTTTCTTTCTTTGTATGTAAATTGTTATAATTATCAATAGATTTGATATTAGCCTCATTGGTAATAATTATATTTGTGAGACTTCAGTTGTTCAATTTGGTGATACTGTTTCCATTTGACATCATCTATTTGTTTGATATTTTAAAATAGGATATTGATTGGGTCCAAACAGAGAAGCATGTTTTTGAGCAAGCATCCAATCATCCTTTCCTGGTCGGGCTGCATTCTTGTTTTCAGACGGAAAGCAGGTAAGGCTGAGAAAGAGTGAGTCTGAGCTTTGTACGTTTGTATACCACACTACAAGAACTCTTCCTGCTGTAATTCATGGCATAGAAGTCAGCGATAAGACAGCAGTATGATGCTTGTAACTCTGCAACTCAGATTTCAGTCAGTGATAGCAATTTGATAGTGAATCAGCATTTGGAAACTACCTGTTTTTTACGTCCTTGCAGCATCTCTTCAACCCTCAAAAAAAGTCAGGTCATAGTTTTAACAGTTGAAACACAATGTATTAAATTATTTCAAGGTCCTTCTTTTAAAATGTACTGTTTCACTAGAGTTTAACTGGGGTAGGGAGGGAGGGCATGATAGGGGTTTTGTTGTTTTTTTATCCTAAGTGACAGTTGAAAATTATTTTGGTAAATGCAAGGATTTTAGGTGGAAATGAAAGGCCATTAACTGCAAGTGATAAAACTTTAAAATAGAAGTAAAAGTTAGAGTTATCCTGTTGGTTTACTTTCTCTTATCTGCTGCTCGTTATTTCTTTTACTCTTGGTTTCCACCGAATCTTGGTTAAGGGTAAATTGGGTAACCACTCTTGGGATTGAGTTACTCTCCCTTGTTTGGGGTCAGGGTTTTATGAATGCTTTCCTGTGTTTTAGGCTGTTCTTTGTTATTGAGTATGTAAATGGAGGAGACCTCATGTTCCACATGCAGCGACAGAGAAAACTTCCTGAAGAACATGCCAGGTTAATTTTCCATTTGTCGTATTTTTTGGTAGGGCACTGACTTTTTATGTACCAGTGATTGAAAACAGTAGGTGATGCTTTTTAAAAACTGAACTTATTTTGATACTAGTTGAGTTTTCCTAAGTATGTAGAAGATGAACCCTTACTGTCGCCTCGGCATCAGCTCCTGACAATTTAGGAATTTGTAAATATGTGTTGTTAGTTTTATCAGGTCTATAGTGATTGAGATTTGACAATTTTTCATTAGGAAGTGACTCATATATGTTTAAGAGTAATTATACAACTCCTCTTGGACTATAATTTTGGTTTTCCTCTATATGCTTTCTGAATTTTTCGATACTTGATTTTTTTCCCTCTGACTGCAAACATGTTTATGTTAAGAAATTAGGAGTGTTGCCGAGTGGCTGTCCCTGGGAGGTCACTCTCCCCAGGCTCTGTCCAGGTGGCGTGTGGGAGCTTAGGGCTCTGCCCGGTGATGTACAATCCCTTTCCACAACGCTGGACATGGAGCTGGGCCTGGAGTCCGCACCTGCGTATTCTTACAGCTTCTCAGACAATGACTGAGGAGACAAACCATGCAGGAAACAGCCTTTGGGGGAAAAAAGAAATTTAACAGTGCTAAATATCAATTTTGTGCCCTTACTTTGATATTCTTATAAAAGACTTTTTTTTTTTTTAAATATATGTTGGAGGAGTTAAATGGGGGAGGAATCATGTAATTCTTGACTTTTTCCTCATTAACCTTAAACAGTTTCGTTCATTCATTGGTGCCATATTTTTGTGAGATTTTACTTTTTTTGTTTAACTCATACTTACCTATAAGCTTACCCTTTCCTGCTTCTTTGAGAGTAATGAGCCATGACTTTCTGTAGTTTATGAACACAGTCAATATGTATTCCTTCTTTGTTCAGTGGTCTGGTTTTTTTACTATATTAAAATGCTGAGGTTTTTTTACACTTTTTTTGCTTTTCTACGAACGAAAGCACAGAACAAGTATTCTTGCTCCCAGATCATAGAACTAAGTAGCTAGGAAGTCCATAAATGATAAAAAAATTAAAATAATAATAATATGATAAAGTCATATTATTTCAATTTGTGTGCTTTGTAACATGGTTAATACTCTTTAATACTTCTGTTTGTTGTTGTTGATTGCCTTTGAGTTGATGAGTTGAGCACGACTCCTAGCGACCCTATGAACAAAAGGCCTGAAGCCCCTCTACAACTATCAACATTTATCAAAGTTCATGGAGTTTCCGGAGGCATGTTATTTAGGAAGTGGACGCCACTCCTGCTTCCAAACCTGTCATAGTTCGTTATTGTTGTTATGTGCCATTGAGTCACCTGCGATGTATGATCCTATGTACAGCAGCTCTGAACCCTGCCCTGTCCTGAGCCAGTCTCACTAACTCAGACACAACAACCCCCACTGCCCCAGTCACTGTATCAATCCATCTCATTCAGGATCTTCCTCGCCTGCCCTGTCCCTCCACCCTTCCAAGCATGATGTCCTCTTTTGGCTAAAATTTCTGGTTATCTCAGTGATCCAATGGAAGCTAAGATGTCTTTCTAGAATATTAAATTTTATGAGTACCTTTGAAAAATGTCTCTTTTCTAAAATCTTGGTATGGATTTTATTGGTTTTTTTAGTCAACTTTTATTGTTCTTCCTATTCTAGACCAGGCGCTTGTTCATAACCATTTGAGAGTCATTGGTGTTGTGGAGTAGAAACCTGTGGACACCTCCTTTTTGCTTCAGTTGTAGAATTAGAGATTGGCTAAAGCCCTTCCAAGGACCCCGATTAAAAACTCCTATTTAAGACTGTCAGATTATTAACTACATGTACAACAGAAGTCTAATTAACCTGAACTTTTATAATTGTGTTTTGGCTCAGATGTTTTAAAGTGATACTTCAATTTGTTTTGGGTAATCAAATTTTAAAAATATTGAGCAAAAAAGTATTTCGATATAATATTTATGTTCCTGTTTGCAAATGGTAATAGGACCTAAAGTCTTTTAACAATATCACTATTTAAACATGGATGAAATAATGGGACTTTTTAAAATTTTGTTTTAGATTTTACTCTGCAGAAATCAGTCTAGCATTAAATTATCTTCATGAGCGAGGAATAATTTATAGAGATTTGAAATTGGACAATGTCTTGCTGGACTCTGAAGGACACATTAAACTCACTGACTATGGCATGTGTAAGGTAAGGAGGAAATATTTCCGGTTACTAAGAGAGTGTTCAGCCAGCCGTAACACGATCCTTAGGAAACACTTTCCTCTTTAAAGATGGGGAAATAACTGTTGTTTGGTTTGCTGTGCTTTATGAAATCCTAGCATAAAAATAGATTTTTTTTTCCTTAAATGTTTTATAAATTCGGTCTTCTGTTGACTGTTACATGGGCTTAAAAGTAAAAAAAAAATAAATAAAACAAATTCACTGTCATAGAGTCAGTTTTAGCTCTGAATAGTCCAGTGCGACAGAGAACTGCCTTGTAGGGTTTCTGAGACGGTGAATCTTTATAGAAGCTGCTGGTTACATCTTTCTCATGAGGGGTGGCTAATGAGGTATTTTTGGGGTGTTGATGATAATAATGACTATTTTTGTGTGTCACATCAAATCGGATCTGACTGGCACAGGAAGAGATTGCTTCTCTTTCTCCAGCCGAGCATCTGGTGGATTCAAACTGCAAACCTCTGGGATCGGGGTAATGCATTTTAAACCACCAGCTTTGAGGTTAGCAGCCCAGTGTGTTTTAACCACTCTACCACCTGGAATTCTTATAAGAACTACAGTGAGAATTCTTTTTTCTTCTCCTCTGTAACTTTTTTAAAATTGTATGTAACACTTTTCTTCTTCAAGACAACTTTTTCTTTTGAAAATTGTGACTGTTACTGGAGACAATTTAGAAACGAATCCCCTGTGATCCCATTTATTTAACATATCTACTTGCATATTGTCTTCCAGTTTTGTCGTTTAGTAACTCTCAAATAATATATTCATGATTTTCTTGTGAAATCTGTCATTTTATGCATTTCTAATTGAAACATAAGATCTGGTTGTTGTTGTTGTTTGCTCTTGAGCTGGAACCAACTCCTAGCTGACCCTCCAGCAGGTTTTTGGAAGCAGGAGGAGATGGCCCATCCTCCCTGGGAGCAGCTGGTGGATTTGAACTTCATGCCCTTGAGGTTGCAGCACAGCTTCTTAACTTTTGGGCCACCTGCGCTCCCGAATATTACCTAGAGTTGTTGTTATTATTATCTAGAGTACAGTGGAATAAAATAATTTTAGTTACTTGCAGAAAGATGTTAGCTTCTTTATGTCTTGGCGTTGTTTGGTTTTTGTAACAGTACTTTATCTAAAAATCTGTAATTTTTATAAAATATGTAGAAAACGGCTTTCCTTGCTGAAGTGCAAGGCACAAAGTGAACTTCACTTAGTCAGTATTACGGGAAGAAGCATTGAAATCTTTGAAGGATCTTCCTCCTTCACCTGAAGAAAGTGCTGCTTCAGACCCGCACTGGACACGAGTTAGATATGTCACCCAGTGAGATGGCCTCAAAGGCCCAGAGAAGTCATTTCCAGTAATGGAATTGTTCAGCATTTGTTAAAAAAGAAAATCTTGAATTCCTTTTGCTTTTATGTACAAAATTTAAAGCCATTTTTCTGATGTTATTTTAAAAGCTCTCATTACGCAAATAATGGTGTTCATTTATTTATAATTCATGATTCCAAAGACCTTATGTGCTACATTTTGCATTTTGTGAATACGAACTTTGTTAGATCCAGCAGGGAAGGACATCTTATTTTTTTCCCACCAGATCGGATTCAGTGTTAAGCATCTCTTTGTATCTGAAGTGCATAGAATTTGACTCCATTGTATTGTTAGTTAGGTATGTTCCAAACTTCTACTACTTCATTCTCATATTTCTGATTTCCTTGTTGGGCTAGAATTTGCTTTCCTATTTAATCTTCTAGACGCTTGTGAGGAGCTCTTTTTTTCCCTCCTCCTTGACCATGCTGTTTCTCCTGCCGTCAGTGGTTTCTAAGCCTACCTGCTCCTTCTCTGTGTATATTGTTTCTCAGAAGGATGCTCTCACCGTATAGCAAACTTCAGCTTATTTCTGGTGGGTCAGAGGATGATCTGCGGAGAGGACAGGCTCTCAGGAAGCTCCCAGATTATCCTGCCAGCTTTCCTTGATTCAGAGGACAATACAGACGTTTGTGAACAGACAGACTTCTTTGCAGAGACATTCCGCCCTGTACCTTCTTCACTTTCTTTCACTATCTTCACTTTCCTCTTCCAGCTTGGAGTCTTTGGAGTCCTCAGGGAGACAGTTGCCCAAAGCAGTGTTTTTTCTTGAGCGCATCAGTATTCCTTTGATTTGGATAACTGATAAGGACTTCCAGCTTCTGCCTTTCTTTTTTATGATTATCTTCGTGACTCCCTGCCTTTCTCTTTTTTGGAGTTTGGCCTTTTAGTTTATACTCTGTGTTACACTGGAGACACTCTATAAAATTGGTCCTAATTAGCCATCTCAAGTTCATCATCCAAAAGCCTTCCTTGAGTACACATTTCTTCACGTGAAGTCCGTGTGTTGTACCCAGGACATACCACAAGAGATTGCTTCAGCGACATCACAGAACTAAGCCAGCCAGGAAGACGAAGGAAGAAACACTGTCTGTCTCGGGGCAACCAGAACTGATGCCCTGTCACTGCGTGGGTTCTGGGTATTGGACTGCAGGCTCGACAGCATCAGCCTCCTTCTGGATGGAGCAGAGTGGCTTCCCTGGCTCATTCACCTCCTCAGACTTGAACACTTCTGGCCTCAGAAGATTATAGCTTTAAATCAGCCGTCCTTCATCTTTAGCTGCTCCTTTAAATGGCAGAGACAGAGATTCTGGAATTAGCCCTGTATTTCTTTTCTTTCATTCTTGGTCCAAGCTCATGTCAGATCCTAAGTCCTTGCCTATTGCACGTCAGCACAGAGGCACAGGTGCCCTTTGCTGGGTTATGGCCCATTGTCTCCACCTTCTGCAAGGTTATGGGGCACACCAGCTAGACTCCCACTGGAACTTCCTGAAATCTGGTTACACTGCACCTTGCCCTCTGGCATGGCTTTGTTGATGGATTCTTTGCAAGTGTTCTAGGGGATCCATTGCCGTATTCCTTTTCACTTCCTCCTTCTCTAAGGCCTGACTTCCTGGAGGTGTGTTTATGAAAGGAGTTTCTGAGGGATATTACGGTATAGCTCCCTCTCCTGAGCAACAGAAAAGAAAACCTCATTTGTTTTTTTCAGAGACTTTGCCATTTTTGTTTTCATAGTAGTGGTGAGAACGCTGGCCGCACTGTCAGGGTCGTGCCTGTTGGCTTTCAAGTGGGTATCTTGGTAATGGAATTTGTGTTAGGTACATGCAAATTTGTTGGGGATCAGCTTGGATCAATTTGATTTTCATTTTCCCCCAAGACCAGCTGTCATCCCAGAGTTACGCTGTACGTTGGTAAATAAGCAAAGGAGATCTTCAGTCATTTCCGAAAGTCACCAGAGACTGTAGCACAAGGAGGGCGGGATGCCCACTCAGAGCCGCTGGATAATAAATGTGTCAAGTACAGACTCCCATTCCTGAAGCTCACCCGGGAACGCAGGAAGGGCTGTGGTTCCGTGGACCTAGGGAAAGGCTGGGCTGTGGGTCAGCCCTAAAGAGAAGGTGTGACGTTGTGGCTCACAAGACGTGGACGCTGTTTTCTGAAGAGAATGTCATTTTCTGTGCTCAGAAATCCGATCCAACAACTGGCCTGTTAACAGAATTTTTAAATAAGAAATAATTGGCAGGGTTAATAAGTACCCAGGTTTGTGTTTCCTTTTCGATCTGTGTGCCATTGTCTTGCTAGTGAATTCTTTGTCCGTTTTCAAAAGAAAACTGACAACAGTAAAGGAGACACTTCGTTGTAGTTACTGTCAGATTGATCCTGGCTCATGGCAGCCTGTTTGTGCAGAGCTGAGATGCTTCAGAGGGTTTTCAAGGCATCCTTGAAGAGACAGAGCTTCACACCTGGCTTATTAGGTTGGTTTTTGTTTTTCAGTTTTCAGATTTATTATTGTTGTTGTTATGTGCCATCCAGTTGCCTGCGACTCATAGCCCTAAACCCTGCTCTATCCTTTGCCAGTCTCACCATCTCCAACACACTCACCCTGATTACCCCAGTCACTGAATTAGTCCATCTCATAGAGGTTCTTTCTCTCCGGTGCTGTCCCTCTACTCTCCCAAGTATGATGTCCCTCTCCAAGGACTGATCCCGCCTTGCAACATGTTCAAAGTATGTTAGATGAAGCTTCAGAATCCTTGTCTCCAAGGAGCAGCCTGGCTTCACCCTCTCAAGAATGAACCTGTTTGTTCTTCTAGCAGCCCATGGTATATTCAGTACTCTTCTCCAACATCACAGCTGAAAGGCATCAATTCTCCTTTTGTCATCCCTAGTCATTGTCCAACTTTCTGATGCATAGGAAGTAATTGCAGAGACTATGGCCTGAATCAGGCGCACCTTAGTTTCCAGACTTACATCGTTGCTCTTTAGTACTTTGGAAAAGTCTCTAATAGCAGACTTTCACAATGCAATATGCCTTTTAATTTCCTGGCTGCTGGTACCAAGATTGTTGATTATAGAACCAAGCAAACTGAAGCTATTACAGTCTCAGTCTCGTCATCTAGCATGATGTTGCCAAGTGGTGAGAATCTTTGTTTTCCTGATGTTGAGCTTCAATCCATATTGAAGGCTGCAGTCCTCAGTACTTCTGCAGCAAGTACTTCATGTCCTCAGCAAGCACAGTTGTGTCATCTTTTTTCAAGCAAAGAATCTCTTTACTTTCAGACATACAGACGTATGTATTCTGATAAGCTTTATATTTTTGTGTGGTGTGTTAAGTACATGGGAACTTATATTTGTTGATTTTTTTTTTAATAATTGCCAAAAAATATAACCAACAAATTTGCATGTACCTAACACAAAGTATCAAAATATAAAAATAGAAGTAGTTAAAAGTATTAGAAGAATTTCACAATTCCTACTTATGGGAAGAGATTTGCCACACCTGTACTAGAAGATGATAGATCAAATAGGCTAAGTAATAGTTCACAGAGAAAGGTTTGGCCAAAAGCTAGAGAGTGTGTGTCTATGTCTACATGTATTTGTGTTTCTGTCATTTTGTGGTATGAATGTGCCAGATCTCTTGCCGTAAGTGAGGATTGTAAATTCTCCCAATCATTTTATCCACTCTTATTTTTATACTGTGATTCTGTGTGTTAGGCACATACAAGTTTGTGTTTGTTACAGTTTCTCTATATAATATATAGTGATAATAATCCACTTGCTTGTAGTTTCTCTGTTTATACCTATTGGTAGTGCATTTCGCTTTAATTTTCTTTATCCTGTATCTATTAAAATAAAAACCCAAAAGCCTTGTGTGTTAGAAATGCTGCAAGGAACACCAGCTGTAACATCAGCCATGGCTGGGTGCAGGATGTGGGATTTGAAGTGACTGTTTTCTTTATGAAATATGATTAATTTCATTTGTATATTCTTAAAATTTTAGAAATTGAATATAAATTTTTAAATATAATTTTTCTCTTAATTGACCTGACATTTATTAACATTTATCGAGGATAGATTTTCTTTAAGTTATTTAGTCATATTGTATGATTTTAATGATAAAGGCAGCCATCCTAGTGATAGAACATTTAAGCTTGAGCCTTAAAATTTTAGCATAGATGCTAGATACAACAAGAGGTGAATTTAAAATGGAATTTGAGATGATCTTTTCTCTTTCTTTTTCTAAAAGGAAGGGTTGCGGCCTGGAGATACAACTAGCACTTTTTGTGGTACTCCTAATTACATTGCTCCGGAGATTCTAAGAGGAGAAGATTATGGTAATAAATAAATTGTAGGATTTTAACTCTGCTGAACGGGTGGTTAAATGTGGTAGCAATTGAATTATATAGTGCACTTTAGTGTTTTAATACTGATTTTCTTCGTATATGCTTTCTTGATCCCCATCAAACATAAAATGAAAACCTCAGATCTTGAACTTACAGATAGTGTGTCTTTGGCAACATTTGAGGATGCAAATTTGTATTAGTGGAAAAGCCAGGCGGTATTCTAATCAGATTACATATAATAGTATATACACGTGACTGATCTCCCTCCTACAGAAAAGGAAACTGAAGAACAGAGATTCAGATCTCAGCAATGTGACTTCAGAGTCACGAGCGTCCGGAACATTCCCTAGAAATCTGAGGGACAGTGGCAAGATTGCTTCCTTGTCAGGGACCAGTGGATACACTTGTTGTTAAGTGCATAAGTCCAGTGGATACATTTACTTTAAGAAAATATTTAACTTCTTTGATTTTAGCCCTAGATTTCAGCAAATAAAAAAAAAAAAGTGGACTTCCCATTAATTACTGTCAGATTCAAGGATTTGAGGAGGTCATTCTAAATTACAATTTAATTATGTTATCAAAATCAAATACTAGCTATGGGCATGAGACTTAAGTTAGAGATAGATTTAGAAAAAGAAACATTTCGCTGGCCTTAAGGCTCTATTTTACTGCCTTTTACTCAGTGAAGTACTCTGGTCTGCTTGCCTCCCATAATGGTTGTAATGCTTCTAGAACTTACGTGGTCATTGTGTTTATTTTTTTATTTTTTTTTTCATTGTGTTTATTTTTGTCCCACATAGTAGTACAAATCTTTGACAAGCACAGAGTGGATAATTTTGTTGCTTTAAAATCTCCTTTCTAAAAAAAAAAAAAAAATCTCCTTTCTGAAGGTTTCAGTGTCGACTGGTGGGCTCTTGGAGTACTCATGTTTGAGATGATGGCAGGGAGGTCTCCGTTCGATATTGTTGGAAGCTCTGATAACCCGGATCACAACACAGAAGATTATCTCTTCCAAGGTAATCTGCAATATTTTGGATATGAAGTATGTCCCGAGAGCTCATATGGCAGTTTGGAAGGTTTCCCTGTGAATAACCTCATCTAGAGGGCAGATAAAGGCAGAACAAACTAGTACTTTGAATAGATAATATACTCTTGGCTTAATTCGTGAGATTTTGAGTCTTTTTTTTTTTAGTTATTGTTACATCTGTTCTGCTTTTGTAGTCTTCAGTACCATTTGCCAGTTATCTTCTTATACTAACAAAAATCCAACACCGAAATACTAACAGAAACATCTTCAGCTTGTATATGACAGAACGAGATCAGAAGGGTGATGCCTGTGGTTTGAGAGGACGGTAGCACTGACGTGGCCCCCAAGGCTGAATACTAAGTCCAGGAACAGTGTAGAGGAAGATAGAGTATCAGGAAGATGAGGGGCTGGGAAGGTGGGGGAAAATACGACGCAAAAACTGAAAATACAGATAATTGAACAGAATAGAAACAAGCAGCCAAGCACAAGAACTCCCCAACATACGGTTCAGAGATTGCTGAAACGCTTTGCTTATGAAATCTGCATTTAATAATTGCATTCATCAAAGGTCTGCATAGACAGTGATTTTATACTCAGCCCAGACAGCCAGGGAGTATGTGGGATGACGTTGGACGTCCAGGCCGTTAACCGGTGACCACTTCACTTGCCATACAATTGGTTTTGACTTAGAGTGGCACCATGTCGGTCAGCGTTTTCAGTGGCTGATTTTTCAGCAGTGAAACTTTTCTTCTGCACTGGTAATTCCCAGTTCAATTCAAACCCATTGCTTAATTAAGTAATTAATTAAGTAATCACGTTACTTAATGTAGATTCCAACTTCCTTTTATGTGCCGTTGAGTCACCTGCGACTCACAGTGATCCTATTCCAGTAGCTCTGAACCCTGCTCTGTCCTGAGCGAGTCTCGCTGACTCCGACACACCTGCTCCGCGTGCTGTGTCATTCCATCTCATCCAGGCTCTTCCTCTCCTGTGCTGTCCCGCCGCCACCTTTCCAAGTATGATGTCCTTCTTCAGGGACTGACACCTCCTGGCCACGTGCCCAAAGTAGGGGAGACGGAGCTTCAAAATCCTAGCCTCCAAGAAGAAACTTAGTTTCACCCTCTCCGGAACAGACCTCTTTGTTTTCTTGGTGGTTCATGGTATGTTCACGACTTTTCTCCAGCACCACAACGTGAAGGCGTCAATTCTTCTGTCATCTTTAGTCATCGTCCAGCTCTCTGATGCATAGCAAGTAATTGCAAAGACCATGGCCTGGATCAGGTGCCTCTTAGTCTCTAGACTGACATCATTGCTCTTTAGCACTTTGGAGAGGTCCCTGAGAGCAGAGCTGACTGCTGGTGCCAAGCATGTTGATTGTGGAGCTGAGCAAGCTGAAATTGTGAACAGCCTCAATCTCTTTTCCATCTATCATGGTGTTGCCCATTGGACCAGTGGTGAGGATCTCTGTCTTCTTGATGTTGAGCTTCAGTCCAGGTTGAAGAGTACGGTTCTTGACTTTCTGCAGCAAGAACTTCAGGTCCTCCTCAGTTTCAGCAAGCAAGGTTGTGTCATCTGCATAACACAGGTTGTTGATGAGTCTTCCCCCAATCTTAATGCCACATTCCTCTTTGTATAGTCCAGCCTCCCAAATGATATGTTCCACATACAGCTTGAAAAGGTATGGAGACAGGACACATCCCTGTCACACTCCTTTCCCAGTTTTGATCCATGCAGTATTTCCTTGCTCTGTTCTGAGGACTGCTTCCTGGTCCAAGTATAAATTTTGCATAAGCACAATTAAGTGTTCTGGGCTTCCTATTCTCCCCCAGCTTAACCACAATTTGTAGTGATCCACACAGTCAAATGCCTTTGCATAGTCAATGATACACAGACTTTTCCTGTGGTACTCTTTGCTTTCTGCCAAGATCCATCTGACGTTGACAATAACGTCCCCAGTGCCACAGCCTCTTCAGAACTCAGCTTCTATTGCTGATAGTTCTCTCTCTCTCTCTCTCTTTTTTTCTCTTTTTCTCTCTCTCTCTCTCTCTCTCTTCATCTATTGTCCTTGAAGAAAGAATGTTGTACTTTTTTTTAGTTTTTTTATTATTTTTTGTGTGTGTACTGTCAAATCGGATCTGACCAGTACAGGAAGAGATTGTCCCTCCTTAACCAGCAGAGCATCTGGTGGATTCGAACCGCATACCTCTGGGATTGCAGTGCAGTGTCTTGCCACTAGGCCACCAGAGCTCTCAATACTTCTCTTTTGGTATACTGTGTCAGTTGTTTTTGGATAATCTTCAGCAAGATTTTGTTTGCATGTAATATCAGTAATATTGTTTGATATTTCCATGCTTTTTCGGGTCACCTTTTTTTTGAAATGGGAATAAATGTGAATCTCTTCCAGTCATTTGGCCAAATAGTTTTTCTCCAGATTTCTTGACACAGCCTGGTGAGCAAAGTCCAGGGCAGCATCTGTTGAAATATGTCAGTTGGTATTCCGTCAATTTTCGGGGCCTTGGTTTTTGCCAAGTTCTTTAGAGTAGCCTGAACTTTCTCCTTCATCACCATTACTTCTTGATCACATGTTGGTTTCATGAAATTCTGTGTCAGCCGATACTTTTTGGTATAGGGACTGTGTGTGTTCCTTCTATCTTTTAATCCTCCCTAGATCATGAAATATTCTGCCCAGAGCATCTTTAAGTTTTACAACTTTTTTTTTTCTATAATTATATTTTATTAATTTTCATAAACATTTACAGAGATTTTGGGCTTCCACTCATTCATTGTTGCACTATTCTCTCTACCCTCCTCCCAGTTTGTTCTTGTCCAAATGCCACAGTGCTTGTCAAAGCCAGTTCTGATTAATCTTCTTTGTCAGTGTATCCTTTGCCATTCCCTATCACTCCTCCCTGAGAGAGACTTCACCCTGAGTCATAAGGAAAAGGGGACGGCGTATTCTCTTAGCTACTTCCTGCTGAAAAGGGACGCTGTGGGTTTCAGGGTGAAGATCTTCTCTCATAAGTTTTACAACTTGAGGCTTGAATTTGTTCTTTCGTTCCTTCAGCTTAAGGAGTGATGAGTTAGTTCAGCCTTTGGTTTTCGGACTCCAGCTCTTTGCACGTTTCTTTTCTTTTTTTTCTTTGCATGTTTCATTGTAGTATTTACTTTGTCTTCCCAAACCACCCATTGAAATCTTCTGTTCAGCTCCTTAACTTGATGCTTCCTTCCCTTTGCTCTGATTTCTTGGCACTGTAATGGCAATATTTAGAGTCTCTTCTGATAATCCACCTCGGTGTTTTCTTCTTCCTCTTTGTAATGACTTTTTGCATTCTTCACAGATGATATTCTTGATAACCTCCCTTAACTCATCTGCTTCAGTAGTGTTTAAGGCCTCAAATCTGTTCCTGAAATGGTTTTTAAATGCAGGTAAGAGAGACCCAAGGCCAACTTTTTGGTTCCTATGGATTTGACTGAACCTTCTTTAGCTTTCGTTTGAACTTGCATATGAGTAGTTGATGGTCTGCTCTGCAGTCATCATCTGGCCTAGTTTCCACGGCTGGTATTGAACTGCCCCAACTCCTCTTTCCACAGGTGGAATCAGTCTGATTCCTGTGCATAATACCATTAGGTGAGATCCATGTGTATAATCTGTGTTTATGTTTCTTATAAAAGATATTTTTTACAACAATGAATAAGTTGATTGATTGTACAATATTCTGTCATTCTGCCTCCAGCCTCTTTTCTGTCATCAAGCCCATGTTTTTCAACTACTGATCCTTCCTCCCTGTTCCCATTCTTGGCTGCATGTTCGATCGATTTCTGATTTCAAAAGTTGGTAGAAATTACTGATTTCCTCCTCTCTGGCTCTGGTTCTTAGTGTATATATCTGAATAATAGTGGTATTCACTGAACTGCCTTGTATGCGTATGGATAGTATTCTGTCGCTCGCAGCATTATCTTTTAAGGTGGGTCTAGAAATGACCTTTTTGACTATGAAAGTGACTCTTTTTCCTCATGTTTTCATCTCTGGTGTAGTATATCGTAAGATTGATGCAAAATGTCCCATGGCTGTCTATCTCATTTTGCCAGTACCTTGTATGTCAGTATTTATGTATTCATTTCTTTCTGAACAGTGTCCAGTTTTCCTACATTTGTGCATCTCACACTCCACATTTTAATCATTAGTGTCTGCTTACAACTTTTCCTCCTTGTCGTTTTTCCAAAGTGAAGGGCTCAATCTCAGTAACTATTATCTACTAGTCTACTTAGAGTGTGCTCTTTCGTACATAGGGTTTTTGAAAGCCTCTTATTTCAGAGAGGGTGGCCAGTCCTTCCTTTCCAGCTCTTGGGAACCAGTACGTACTGACGGCAGTGGGCTCAGTGTATCAGATGATGAGGGTGACCCTGGACAGGACAGGGTTCAGATCTGTGCATAGGGTCGCTGTGAATTGTACTCAGTCTGACGGCACATGACAACAGCGATAGGGCTTCCATGGGTGTAAGTCTCATGGACTCATCTTTCTCCAAGCTGCCACCTTTTCAGTTAGCTGCCCAATGTATAATTCACTGTGCCACCAGGTCTCCCTTATACTAGTAGGTAGGATTATCCATATTAGCATGTTAATGAGCTACTATTTCATACCCAAGCATTTGGCAACAATTTTATAGTATAGGACCAAGTACTGTTGAAGGCGTGTTAAGACTGGGACTGTCTGGATGATGGAGGGAAGGTTGACTGTAGGACCTTCATAGCATAATCAGGCAAAGTCCAATAACATGACATCTATGTTGTAGTTTATGCCAAAAACTTTTCTAGCATTTTTTCATATGTCTAACAACCCTTTAAGGTAGGTATTTTTATCCTAGTTTTTACAGAGGAGGAAACTGAGACACAGAAAGGTAATCAAAGAATACATGGGCATAGAAATTATTACTTTTCCTTAAATTTAGGTTGTAGGTTATCTCCAAGAAGAGGCGAGGGGGTGGGATTGCCGCGGTATGTGTGGTGTCATGTTGAATAGACTAATTTTGATTGTATTTTCAGTGCCTTTGCTGAACATGCATAACATTTCATAGTAAAGATACAAGGTTCAAAGCATGTTAAAGTGAAATGTAATGGCATAATTTTATCTTTCTAGTTATCTTGGAAAAACAAATCCGAATACCACGTTCTCTTTCTGTAAAAGCTGCAAGTGTCCTGAAGAGTTTTCTCAACAAGGTATAAATAAATTATATAAACACTTCATGGTTTATCTTGGATTCCCTGAATGGAACTGGTAATATAAAGGTCTAGAAAAAATAAAATGTCTAAATAGCCAGGTATTTAGCTTTTCATTTAGTTATGGAACTTTGCTTTAACCAGAGGAATCTATAGCGTTCCTCTCTCACACTCCCCTGAATGAGATGGATTGACTCAGCGACTGGGGTGATGTGGGTGGGTGTGTCAGAAAGAAGGAAACTGGCTCAGGACAGAGCAGGGTTCAGAGCTGTTGGACTTAGGGTCACTATGAGTTGGAGTTGATTCGATGGCACTTAACAACAACAATTTATAGCATTAGGGACTGGGATGAGCTGTCTTCTGTTTTGCCCGTATATTTTTGTCCCCAACTATGTATCATATAAGGTGTTTTAATGTAACTCATATATGCAATATAATCAGTTTGGGGAAAAACAGAATATTTGTGCATAACTTCATTACCTAACTTCATGTTCATAACCTATCTCTAGTCCTTTGTTATTCCTTGGGTCATTAATCAGCGATTCTATCAATTACACATATTTATTGAACACTTGGGACAGTGGTGCTCTCTACAGATTCTCATATTTTTTAATCAGCTCAAATTTAGAAGCAATGAAATGCTCTTTTTGACCCTTAAAATTTTACACATTATTTTAACCAAAAGAAGATAGTCAGAGGGCAAACAAACACATTAAGAAATGGTCAAAATCCCTAGCTCGAAGACAGATGCAAATCAAAACAACTATGAGATACCATCTCACCCCTGTAAGAATAGCAAAATTCAGCAGAGCAGCAAACAACAAATGCTGGCGAGGTTGTGGAGAAACCGGACCCCTTATTCACTGTTGGTGGGAGTGTAAAATGGTGCAACCACTGTGGAAGGCTGTATGGCGCTCTCTCAAAAAGTTGCAAATAGAGATACCATTTGACCCAGCAATTCCACTACTGGGAATATACCCTAAAGACACCGTAACTGCCACCAAAGCATTTATATGCACACCCATGTTTATTGTGGCTTTGTTCACTATAGCAAGGAGTTGGAAACAACCTAAGTGCCCATCAACAAATAAATGGATAGAGAAGCTGTGGTATATTCACACAATGGAATACTATGCTGCATTGAAAAACAAAGAACTCATGCAATGTTATACAAAATTAGTGACCCTGGAGGACATTACACTGAATGAAATATCTCAGTCACAAAAGGACAAAATACTGTTTTAAAACAGGGCTGACATTGGGGTTGGGAAGAAACTTAAGAGGGGATAAGTAGTGTACACTGCATTGAAACAGATGAGGGAACGAACTGCTTAAAAGGAATATATGATCAGGTATTACTTCCATGACAAGAACCCAGAATAAGAGCTGCATAGTCAAGTCGACTGGGGGCGGGGTGGGAAATTGTTCAACAATGAAAGAATTTTTTTTTCCAAGAGAAAAGCGAACTGAGGGGGTGGTAGGCAGGGAGGAAAATGTGCAACAGTGAATGAATGGGAATCCAAGTTCTGTATAAATTTTCATTAAAATCTCAATTAAAAAAATTATTATATAATAATTATGCATATTCAGCTGCAGGTAATTGGAAAGTTAGCAGAATTTTAGGATCCATATAGGATTCTGATTTTGATAATCATAAATATTACATTGAGTCCATGGCAGAATAGGAAGCAAGGTGATGTGTATTTCTCTCCCTAGGTAAATAGAGGAATGTGTACCTTAATAAAAGAAGAACTTGAACCTTGTTTTAAAGTAACAGCTTTAGAGGAAGAAAGATTTAAACATGAAAGTTAGTCTTTAACACGTTGGAGAGTGTGAGATTAGAAAAGTGAAGATTAGAGGTGTTAATATGCAAAATAAAATACCTTCTATCAGAAAGGAAAAATGAGTCCATGTTCTCATTCATATTCATGAAGCAGCCGGGAGAGTTTCTAAATCACAGTCCCCTTTGCAATTTAGTTGTGTCCTTATCCTGCACAGATTCTACTTTGTTGCTGTGATTTGAGCAGAAAGCTTCAAAAATTGAGCTGAACCCAAATTTTTGTTGAAGTTTGGGGTTTCCATATCTTCACTTCCACGCAGTTGTGCCAAAGAAGTAGCTGAATTTTGAATCCACCAGATGCTCTGCTGGAGAAGGAGGGACAATCTCCTCCTGTACCAGTCAGATCTGATTTGACGGAACACACACACACACACACACACAAATATAATTTTAAAAAGAAGAAGTAGCTGGATACAGTTTAAATGTTTCTCCTCCTTTTACCCCTCTTAATCGGTAGCAGAGTGGTGGCAATTTTCCACTTTAATTATCTAGTAAAATGGAAAAGGGTCACAAGGATATCTTAGTCATAAAAATATCTAGATATAGAAATGAAATCTGATCTTACACTTTGTAGACATGAAAGTGCGGCTGTTCTGACTTGAAGGGTAAAGGTGTTGTAGGCATGAACCATAGGCCACGGAGGTGGTTTCTTTTACAAGTACACTGTTCCCCCAGTTCTTCAAACATTTCTTTCTACCATAGGATCCGAAAGAACGGTTGGGTTGTCATCCTCAGACTGGATTTGCGGATATTCAGGGACATCCATTCTTCCGAAATGTTGACTGGGACATGGTATGTAAATTTTCATTGCAGATTAGGTTTACATTATTATTATTTTGGGCCACGTTACCATATGAGGGTAATAAGCCATATTACCCAAAGGGAGCTCTGGTGGCTTGGTGGTCAGAAGCAGTGCTGCAGTCCCAAGGGCATGCAGTTCGAATCCACCAGCTGCTGTGTGGAGGGCGGAGGGCCAGTCTCCTCCTGTGTGATTTACTGCTTCCGAAAACCCAGTAGAGGGTCAGCAGTGAGTGGGTTGCAACTCGTCAGCACACCACCACAGTAACATTATCATCTTGGGCCAATGTTTATTATCTCAAATGATTCCCTTAATATCTGCCTTTAATGTGCTTTTTAAGACTTTTCTTTTAAAGCTTACAAAATTACTATATCAGAATAGGCCTGTTATTACGTAGCCTGTGGCAGTTCCGATTTATACATTATGTCCAGCATAATGAGATGGTAGAACCAGGCCTGTGGTCTCAGTTTTTTATTTTATATGACTGGAAAAACACCTAAGGCAGGGAAGAATTCTTCTAACAATGCAGGCTCGAGCTCCTTTCCAATATGTCTTTTCAGATGGAGCAGAAGCAGGTGGTCCCACCCTTTAAACCAAATATTTCTGGAGAATTCGGTTTGGACAACTTTGATTCTCAGTTTACTAATGAACCCGTCCAGCTCACTCCAGATGACGAGTAAGTATTTTATAAACTTAAATACTTAAAAGAGTTTTTCAGACCTTACATTTTTACTGATTATATACAGTGCAGATTATGTGGTATAATTTATCGAACCTTTAAATTGTGAACTTTCAAACAATTTCCTCAGCTTCCGTTTAAATTTCAATTACTGGATATTTGAATCTCTTTTGCTGTTATAAATCATAACAGTTACTGCCACTTACTTTCTGCTATGCTTTCCATCTCTTAATTCTCACCACTATCCTACAAGATCGTCACTGTCCTCTTCGTTGTAAGAGGAAACTGGAGGTCAGAGAGGTGAAGGCGAGTATTCAGCTATCTGTGGTGGAGTCACATTCGGAGGCCAGTGTGACTGAGGCCTCTGCACTCCCCGAGTCGTGGGCTTTCCCACTTTGACAGGGAGTGTCTTTGTCTGCACCACGAGGATTAACTTGAGATTCCTAGACGACAGAGTGGGTCAGGGGTCTGACATTAGGTTGCAGTTTAAAAATACATTGATTAGAATAAGTATTTGAATCATTTGCCTGTTAGTATAGAATCATACTTTTTTATTTTAGGCATTTTATTTGCACCTTATTCTTTCTAATTACATTCCTTACAGCAGCTATTCTGAATGGTCTCAGTGTCTTTAAAAACCTTCATCCTATCCATCATTCTTTTTCTTTTCATTAGTTTATTTACAAAATTCTAATACATTATTCACTGTTGGTGGGAATGTAAGATGGTGCAACCATTGTGGAAGGCGGTGTGGCGCTTTCTCAAAAAATTGCAAATAGAGATACCATTTTTTAAAATTTATTGTTTTTGTGTGAGTGTACTGTCAAAATCAGATCTGACTGGTACGGGAAGAAATTGTCCCTCCTTCCTCAGCAGAGCATCTGGTGGATTCGAACCATGCGCCTCTGGGATTGTAGTTGCAACTCCTTGCCACTAGGCCACCAGAGCTCCCCTAGAAATAC